CAGGTAACACCGGAAAAGCGGGCGAGATGCTCACCCAACGAAGTGAGAAAAGACGTCTCGGACAATTGATCGTTCTGCGATGTCAAGGTGACAAAAGTGTCCATGATGCCATTTTGTTCCGTCCTCCTCACGCCCTGCGCACCGAATCGGCACCGTCAGTCAAGGATCTCGCATGCCCGCGCCCCAACGTGGGCTGATCAATCGGCCCGCGACTGCAATCGCGACTGCTCACCCTCAAATCCAAAATCTTTTGGAAGTTGCCCTGCACAGAACAGAGACGAAGGCGAGTGCACATGTTGAGCCGTCTGCAAGCCCACGAGAGCGAAGTGTGCTCCTTCGGACCGACTCACGAATGACCTATCGCCAATCAGCTGGGTATACTTTTCAATGAGCTCTTCCGCTCCAGGATCTTCCAGGCAGAGCAGATCCAGCAAGCTCTCCAACCTCTGCGTGCTCTTGGTGATGTGTCGTTGATAGCTGCGCACAGGGCACGTCAAAGTCAGCACCGCGACGCGAAAGCACCGCACAGTCTACATGGCGCGGGGGGATGCCGCAGGTGACTCACGAAGCGGCGGCGCTGGCGCTGCCTTCTTCCGATAAAGAGTATCTAGGCAGCTCGAGCAAGATCGATCTGATCTCTTTGAGATCGAGCAATAATTGTTTCGAGACGAGGCTCGACAGCGGTTTCAACCTGACAAGGGTATTTGTGAACCTGGCAAGGATGGTTCTGCGGCGCCCAGCAATGTCCGCCCATGCCCAGTTCTTTAGCACCGCGCACTCATGGCAACGCGTCCCGCAACGCTACTCACCCAACAGCCTTATCGCACCAGCTCCGCACGAATCGCTTGTTCTCCAGCTCCAGCCTGACCACGACAGCCACATGCTCGAGGGAAGATGCTAGCTCATCGACGTAAGGAGACTTGCCCGATGCTTCGACCAGCGTGGACCACGGATTGTTCGGCCGGAACATTTGCTGAAAAGGGACTTCCAGAGCTTGATCCGCTTCGCGCAACAAGGCCTGAATGCCCTGCGCAATCACGCTGTCGTGGCAAGCGATGGGACGAAAGTTTGAGCAAGCGCAACGATCCGCGCTCGCAAGCGTCCTTTGCAAAACCCCTCGCACCACTCACGCAACAAAGCCCTCCTTTTCGTTTTGCAAATCAATCTCCTTTTCATACCCCTCATCCACCTTTTCCCTCAACTTTTCCGCAAGTTGATCGGCCGTCGTAGCACAGTAATCCGCCGTATTGACAATCTTGCAAATCCTTCCCAAGAACATTTCATTTTCTCTGCTGCCGCTGGCGCCGTACCTCGTATCGTTGGATCGCCTAGGTGCGGGCAGACCAGAGGCGCTCGCAGGATCCGTTCGATGCATCAATCCGAAGCGCAACACCTCCTCCGCATACATCTTGAGATACTTGCAAAATACAAAGCACAAATCTCTGAAAGCGGCGCCGGTGCTCAAGCGAGCAAAAGCTTCGAGCGTCTGTCTGTAAAAGTAGAAGAGCTCCGTGGAGGAAGCTAGCACCGCACTTCCCCCGCCTCTGCCCACCGAGCCGGAGCTGCTTTGCATGCCGATGGTGGAGGAGGCTTCTTGCATTCCTGCGCTTCCTCCGCCAGCACTACCGCCATCAATCGAAGGTCGGGACATGAGGCTCTGTCGATAGCCGACAAACATCTCTTGCAGTCGCTTGTCTTGCGCTTCCACAAAGATGACGAGATGCGGATCAAAGGTGGAGGATAGGGAGTGGCCTGTGGATGTTGCTGCAGTCAAAGTCGGGACCGAGGCATTCCCTGCGGCTGTGGTCGGTGGCAGGTTGGGAGCGGCAGTGATCTCTTCGTACTGTCGATGCAGCCGTAGCGTATAAGCTCTCTCACTGCTCGTGCAAGGACAAGCCACGCACTGTCCTACTCACGCTGCCCCCGTACTTTCTAGCCATGGCGGTTTGAAACTCCAAAGTAGCGTTCATGGCATCCAGAAGCACGTCCACATTGGCGCCTTTGCCCATCCTGATCAGCAAGCTCCTCAAGTCTTCCCTAGTCTGCTCGCTGAACCTCCTGAGCAGTTCCCTGCCCACATCCCAACCAGCCACATGAAACGCAGCAGCGTGATCCTCGTCGTACGTGCGCAGCACTCTTCTGAACCAAGCATACCGGCGCGAAACATTGTCCAAACCACCGGCTTCGTCCGTAGAGCGAAAGATGCGCTTGTACTCTTTGAGCGTGAGGGTGGTGTAGAAATCGTGCAGGGATTGCGAGGCTTGCGGACCCAAGGCTGCAATAGCCTGAGCAGCAGATGGAAGGATAGTCGAGCTGATGGGAGGTGGATTGGGCTGACCAAAGCTGTTGCGAGGATGTGCAGGTAAGAGGAGGAGCAGGTCGAGCGGAGGTCAGTAGGGCCCCAAGTTAAAATTTCTGCGCCCTTGACATCTCCCCACCCCCTCAAACAGCTTCAAATGGAAAGCGTGCGTGCGCCACTCACAATCTTTCGAATTCCTGCCTGGCATCCTTTTCCAGTTGCGCCTTTAACATCTCCACCTCCCTTGCCACCCTATTGAGCCTAGCGACGCCGGCGAATCCCACAAAACTGTCTTTGAGCGACTCGACGGCTGTGAGAGCTGATGCGCACTCTGCGTACCGCTTGGACTGAGCCAGTCGACTGAGCTGCGATACGGCATTGACTGCGAGCATAGCAAGAGGAAAGGTTAGCAATGACAATGACGACGAGGGGGTGAGGCCGTTGAAGGGGAGAGCTTCCCCTCTGTCTCCCTCCCCGTGCACCAAGCACAGCACAGACGCCGCGCCTCTTGCTTTCTTCCCTCTGCTCACCCAGCATCTGCAAGCGCTTGAGACTGGTCATGCTCGTGACAATGTTCCTCTTTGCAGTGTCCAAACTTCGAATGTCGCGCGTAATGTCCCTGACCACACCTTCGGCTTCTGCCGCTTGATCGCGTATGTTTGACAATTGTCTCAATAGCTGCGTCACCTCATCCTGTCCAACCTGCGCTTCTTTCGCTGCTGCTGCTGCCGCTGCTGCTGCTGCTGCTCCCACTCCCTCTCCCGCTCCTGCCGCTGCTGCTGCATCATGCTCCCGCACACTCGACCCGTTCGGCCGACTACGACCGATCTGGATAGAGTAGAGAAGGAGCAACTGATCAATCACGTCGTCCGAGCTGCATGCTGCTTGGCGCAGTCTAGCCTGTACGAGCGAGATGCTGTCCTGTTGCAGATCTTGCGCATCGTTAAACTGCTCGCTGAGAAAAGCAGTCAAGCTGTGTGCCGTCGAAGCGCTCGCGCTCGTAGAGGTCGTGCCAGCAGCTGCTGCGATGCGCGCAGAAGCAAAAGTGCTGGACGTGGAAATGTCGTCATCGTCATCGTCATCGTCGTCGTGGGAGAGGATGGTGTTGATGCTGCGTTGTAGATGAAGAGGCAGCGCGCTAGGCAGCAAGGCTGCGCTCGTCTGCGCGGCTGCAGTTGGCAGCATGGAGCTGAAAGCTGCGGCACTGGACATGCTGGCGTTGGTGGTGCAATGTTGAATGGAGAGGATGGAGCTTGCAGTCACGAGTGCTATCGCACATGCGATCCCGCCTACCCGCGAGCGTGGTGCGTGGGGATGATGGCTTGGCTTGGCTTGTCGTCAAGCTGTCGATCGATGCCTTCATCTCATCCACAGCGACAGGCTTCAATTCGCCAGCCCTGCATTCACTGACTGATTCGACGACTCACGACTCGCGACTGATGTCCGTGCGTGGAGTCAGGAGTGTGCACGCAGGCGGCACGTGATCGTCGCAACTATTCTTGATTAGGTACCCCCACCCGCAAATCTCGAATGCACGCGCGCCTGCACGCAATCAAGCGCGGTCAGTCAAAGTCGTGAGTGTCTTGAAGTTTTCACGCCGCGCGGCAACGGCCATCGAGAATCTGAATGCAGCCGGGCGGACGTCTGCTCTTCATCATCATCATCATCATCATCATCATCATCCACCATCATCATCATCCACCATCATGGGCCGGGGCCGCTGCTGCAGGCACCTCGCAACGTGCTAGTCGTGCACACCCCTCACATCACACATCGCGCCCCATGCCAGCGAGCCGCATCTCGTGCGCCCTTCGAGATCAATCATGCCCGCACTCACAGCCTCACCAAGCGCTCCAATCTCGCAAGATGATGCCACGCCACCCTGTATCAAGTCCAGGAAACGATCAGCCGCAGCATCCACTTCCAAAGGGCGTCCAAAGCCTTACGCGTGCACCTACGCAGGCTGCTCACTCGCTTTCCACGCTCCAGCTAGGCTAGCCGAACACGCTCGGCGACATACTGGAGAGGTGAGTGGTGCATCTCGTCTTGCGGTTTGGCCAGCTTCCTTCGCTCAATGCCATGCCATGCCGCTCACCTTTCCTCATCGTCTTTTGCCTTTCGCCCGTCCCCTCCCCCCCCCCGCCCACAAAAGCGACCCTTTGTATGCGCACATCCAGGCTGCGCAGCCTCTTTTAATCGCACGCATCACCTCAATGTGCATGCCAGGGTTCACGCGAATGCCAGCACCTTGACCGCAATCGAGCAAAGTGCCAGTCCTGCAATCAAGCCCTCCCTCGCGCCAGCAGCGGCAGCGACACAGCATGCGGGTGGGGAAAATGAGACGGATGGATCTGTAGATGCTGTGCTGGCGAGTGGGTGCCGAGACGCACTTGATCAGCCACTGCGACGTTCTGCCGATGCGGATGGGCCGCAAATTGCTGCAGCATCTGCTCCTCAGCCGGCAGCACCCCAGAGGAGCTTCATATGTAGCGCTCCAAAGTGTCGCCTCGCTCTATGGACCAAGCAGCATCTGAAGCGGCACGAATCGACGTGCGACAAAGTCAGAGCTCTACGATTAGGCAATCGAGCTGCATCCAGCAATGCGCATCAGTTTGGGTGGGATGCGACGTCGACAGAGGCCGAGAGCGATGTTGGAAGAGACGAGCGGGTAGATATGCGAGCGGGCGAGGAGGCGATTCCGGACATGGAGCGGCAAAGCGCTAGCGACGCCTCTGCAACGCCCACACAAACTGGCGGCCAGTGCAAGCTGGCCGCAACAAAGGCAAACGCTTCAGACGCAGAGACGACAGAGGCTGAGGTGATGAGAGTAGGCGACAGTGGCAGGTCCTACATCAAGCAGAGAGCAGATAGGAGCTGGCTGGTGAGTCTCTCGTGATGACTGATGGAGCAAGATGAGACGGATTCGCGCTGACCCCTGACTGCTCGGATCAGTGCAAAGAACCCGATTGTGCAAAGACTTTTCGGCAAAGAAAACATCTTCGCGCTCATCTCTGGGCGGCGCACAGCGCTACGCCTCACCTTTCACCACACATTTCCAATTCTGGATTCGCAGCCGACGCAGCTGATGCCGTGGATGTGGATGGCAAGGTGCGCAAGCCTTTTCCATGCAGACATGAAGGCTGCCCAAGAGCCTACTTGACGGCGAAGCTCAGAGCATCGCACGAAAAGATACATCAAAAGGGCAGATACGTGTGCGTCTTGCCACATGAGCCGGGCAAAGAGCTGCGGGACGAACAGAATGAAGCAGAGCTTCAAGCAAACGGATCTCTGGCCTTCAATACTTGGAGCTCTCTGCAGAGACACATCAAAGCTGTTCATCCGCCAACATGCCACTACGAAGCGTGCGGGAGGACATTTGGCAGCGCCAAGCAGCTCAAAAAGCACTTGTCCAGGCACACACAGCTACCCAGACCTCATCGCACCCTCGTCTCAGCTTCGGAAGCGGAGACGGACTCGAAAGCGAGCGTCAAGAGTGCGCGCGCTGCTGCTGCTGCTGCTGCTGCGGATATGGACGTTGAGGCCGAGACGAGCTGTCAAGAGGAAGTGTCGAGGGGCATGTACGCTTGCACCTGGACCGACACTTTGCAGGCAGTCCCAACCACACGCAAAGGCTCCCAGAGGCGCAGCAAGAGGCTCGCATGCAGACGGGTATTCAGGAGTGCAAGAGCCAGGGACGACCACGTCAAGGTTTTCCACCTGGAGCAGCGAGACTTTGCCTGTGTGCCCGAGTGCGGGAAAAAGTTTGGATACGCACATCTGCTCAGTCGACATCGCAAGAGGTGCAAGCATGTGGTGCAAGGCGTGGTGGGCGATGATGGCGCTAGCACGAGCCGAACCAACGGCCATCGTGCTCGAGCGATCGGCTCGAGTACCAGCAGCGACGACGAGACCGAGAGAGAGGCTGAGAGGCATGCCGCTATAGGTCGACGTCACGTGTCCCCTTCGCAATCCAACATTAGCTCTTCCGCGAGCAGGACGACGGCAGACGAACGGGATATGAACAGCGAAGAAGAAGATGCGTTTTTCCGACGCGAAGGAGGAGCAGTGCCCGAGTCGCACGCCGAAAGAGGTCGCGCGCCCGTCCGAAAATCTCTGATCGCCACGGGCGCGGGCGACGTGGGAAGAGATAGCTGGCGGGCCATTGTGGTTTCGCAGAGGAAGGATGCTGGTGGGAGTGCTACTTCGGCGCAACTCGCACCTCGCGCTCTGGCTGGACTGCTTACTGGACAGGGATACGAGCAAGGCTTTGAAGATGCGCCGCGCAATGTGGCCGTCTGGTCCGGCTCGACCAGTCGAAGTTTGCAAGCCAACATCCGTGGCGTTGCGCGCGGTGGGAAGCGCAAGCGCGACGAGAGGGAGAGGGAGAGCGAAAATGGAAGGGATGAAGAGATGAGCGAGAAGGGAGCATTGGGTATCGGCATGCATAGCAAGAAGCGCATCAGAGGAAGGGTGCTTTGTTGTCCGTATGAGGAAATACGCAAAATGCTCTCGGCTAGAGAAGCAGACGATGACTCTGCGGGCGAAGAGGATGGTGGAGGCGCTGCGGCGATCAGCGCAGCAGAGCCTCGCGCGGGTCCGACGCGCACAAACTTTTCCAATACCACGGCGCCTACCTCGCAAGGGTGCCAGTACAGATTCTCGAGACTGTACGATGTCAGCAGACATCTGCTCGCTGCTCACGACTGTCTAGTGCCGGATCGAGACATTTTGCTGGCGCTGCCCAAAGAGAACATCGAAAAGCTTCCCATGCCTGAAAGTGGCCGGGGCGAAGTTTGAGCCGTTCAAGGGGAAAGGTATAGCAAGGGGTACGGCCGGTAGTTCATGCCCAAGCTTCTTGCGGCATTTCTCTCTTTCAACGATCCCAGCCCCCCCCCACTCAACTCTTTGGCAAGACATGTTCCCCGCTCCTTGGAAGATGGCAACCACCTTTCCAGCCACACCGTACCACCCCCCAACCCACCTTTGCCTCGTCCGACGATACACGCAACTCTGGAGCGCTTGCATAGAAAGTTCGAACGTCTTCATCGAGCGCGAGCGCGAGACTTGCAAGCACCAGGCAGGGGCACACGTCCCCCGCTCATTTAAATCAATTGCTCGCTCGCACGCCTCACGCACGCCCCCCACACGCCCTTCACAACGATCCGGTCGAGAAGCAATCAACAGTCAAGGCGCCTTCTGTCCCATTAGCCATTTGTATTGATAACGTTTTCCGCGCCGCGCCGCGCATCATTCATCATCCCATGGCAAGCCAAGCGAATAGAGATAATTTTTGAGCCTCGCAAGATGCAAAATGCATCGCGATCGGGGGGGAGGGAGGTTTGAATAAGCATCCCAGGAGCATGTGACGCGCATCGCGTTGAACGCAGTGAAGGAGTTCATCGGCCTCAGGAAAGAGGAGGAGGGAGGAGGAGGGAGGAGGAGGGAGGAGGGGAGGACCAGTACTTTGATCAGGGAGGGGACGGTGCGCACTTCACGTGCCTCTTCATCCCTCGTCATCCTCTTGCCCCCCCACACCCACACCCACACCCAAACGCAACGCATCCATCCTTCCCCCCGCCCCCTCTTCATCTTTCCTTTGCTTTCATCGCAGTGGCGCTGCTGATGCTCATCAGTCGTTGGCGCTACGGCTAGGGGCCCGCTCACGGCTCATGACACATGACTCCGCAAGGACAAGCTAGGAAAAAATAGTTGTTGTGCCCAAAATGACGAAGAGAACAATGGAAATGAGGAAGATGGATCATTGGCGAAGCCTTTCAATTTCCCAAGGTAGGTCCCCAGATGCGTCCATTCTCCTCGCACCTCGCATCCAACTCTACTCCAGCCTTCTTCCTCTTCCTCTTCCTCTTCCTCTTCCTCTTCCCCCCCGCGCGCGCTCATCCTTTTGGTCTGAACTCGAGAATTCGACGGACACGTTTCGACGAGAATGTCTCCACAGGCTCAATATCTTTGCCCTCTTTCCGCTCCCCCCCCTAAGCCTTTTCGGCACACCATACAGGCTCATCCTCACCCTGACCCACCCCGCGCGTCTACTTTTTCACTTGACCTAGACCAGCGGCATGTTCAGCAGCAGCTAGAGTGAGCAGGTCAGCGAGAGGGTGTGTGCGCGCGCGCGAGAGAGAGAGAGAGAGAGAGAGAGAGA